GAGGCCATTTTGACTTTTTCGGGCCTTCTTGGAGGACGTCTTGGAGGGCACTTGGGCCGTCTTGGAGGCCATCTTGAGCGTCTTGGAGACCTCTTGGGTCGTCTTGGGGGCCTCTTGGGGACGTCTTGGGCGCCTCTTGGGCCGTTCTGGGGCCATCTTGGAGGCCTCTTGGGCGATCCTTGAGTGACCTTTGGGGGCTCTTGGGCCTTATCGGGCCGTCGGACGGCCGAAACGAAGCAAATGTGAAATCCTTCAAACACCTCAGGAAAATCTACCTTTGGCCTTTTATGGCCTTCCTGGAGGCCATCTTGGAGGCCTCTGGGGCCGTCTTGTGCCAGCTGCGAGCCACCTTCGGCCATCTTGGTGGGCTCCTGGCCCGTCTGACGCCGTCGGAAGCCGTTTCGGGGGCCTTTCTGGGCCGACTTGGGGCCCTCTTGTCTTGGGGTGATCCAGGGCCGTCTTGGAGGCCATCTTGGGCGTCTTAGAGGCCTCCTGTGCCGTCTTGGGGCCCTCTTGGGGCCGTCTTGGGGGCCTCTTGGGCCGTTCTGGGGCCATCTTGGAGGCCTCTTGGGCGATCCTGGGGCGACCTTGGCGGCCTCTGGGGCCGTCACGGGCCGTCGGAAAGCCGAAAAGGCGCAAATGCCACAATCCTTCAAAAACTAAAGGAAAATCAAGGATGTTGGCCTCGTAGGGCCTTCCTGGAGGAACTCTTGGAGGCCTCTTGGGCCGCCTTGGAGGCCTCTTGCGGGCCTTTTGGGCCGTCTTAGACCATATTGGGGCCATCTTGGGCCGTCTTGGATGCATCTTGGGGCCATCTTAGCCGTCTTGGAGGCCATCCTGGCTGTCTTGGAGGCATCTTGCAGGCCATCTTGGGCCATCTTCGCGATTGTTTGAGGATGCACCTCTTTGATACATCAAAAGGGGGCGGCGGATCGAATGGCCTTCGGCCCATCCCGCCCCCGTGCTTGGCTTGCGGGGCAGAGTCCCCAAGAATGCTTTTCGGGGTTTCTTCGGATCGCTTTCGGGGGCCAATTTGGGAAACAGGTATTAGGCTTCGTGGGGCCCTCTAAAGGCTACATGGGGCCCTCTTGGGGCCTCTTGAGGGCTGTTTGCTGCCTCCTGGGGGCGTGTTGGGGCCGGGGGCTCGACGTGTCCGTTCGGGTTTCCTTTCTGGGCCTATTCTTCTTGGGGTCGTCCTGTGGTCGCTTTGGGGCCTTCCTGGGCCCTCCTGGTGCCTTCTCGGGCGGTCTTGGAGCCCCAGTGGTGGCCTCCTGTGCAGTCTCGGGGCAATCTCGGGGGCCTCTGGGGCCGTTTTGGGCGCTGCGAAAGCCCGAGAAGCTGAAAATACTCGTACTCCTAAGGGAATGGGGCGAGCATTGCATATTGGGGCCTTATCTGGGGCCTCGTGGAGCGTCTTCGAGGTCTCTTGGGCCGTCCAGAGGCGCTCCTTGACCGTCTTGGACGCTTGGTTAGGGGTTCCGCGAAGTTCCCCAGGTCCTTTGGGGCGCTGCGACCGCCCTGGCGGCTCGCGCGGAACGCCCCGGGAACGCCCCGGAGCGCCGGGAAGAGCCCGGGAGATTGATGGCCCGGGACACTTGAGAAACTACAATCCTGGTTGCAGCAGCAGCACATTGTGAGCCTCGGGAAGCCCCACTTCGTGCCTGCAGAAGCGCGGTGGCGGATATTCGGAGGAGGAGGGATCAAGGAATCGTTCCGCAAATCGGTGGACTCTCGGCTGCAGGATGTCCATGATGATTTCTGCCCTTTCGCTTCCTCCCTCTGTCCCTCTTCTTCGCCCTGGCCCGCGCGAGCTCGGTGGAGTCCCTCTCCCAGCCGTTGGGAAGCTGGCAATGTTCATCCTCGGGGTCTCCTCGGCGAGAAAATCATCACGTGTCGGGTAGAGCAATCGTTCCGCAGATATGTGGATTCTCAGCTGCAGGATATCCATGATCAGACGTGGAGGGGTAGGTGAGCCCGTGAAGCGGCGTCTGTCCTGGGCCCAAGTTGTGTTGAGTCCGTACAGAAGGAGCCGGACGGAAACGGTCCACATAGCCCTTGATGGTTCTCCGATACATTTCGGAAACATAGGATATCGTTTACACGGAAGGCGCCAGTGGAGCCCACGGAATAAGGTTATCCTCATGATGTGGTTGTCATGTTTGGGCGGAATCTCAGAGTTTTCAGGAACTGATACCGACAAGAACGGAGTGACAGAGGACAAGCCCGAGCCCGTCCTGCTGTTGGCGTCCGGGGAGACTCTGGGGAGCAGATCGACCTCGGCTGGCCATAGAATGCAGGAGACGGCAGGTGCGAGAGATGGCGGCGTTGCCGCGGCAGCCGACCCTACCGCCCGCGACACAAGTTCAGACCGCGGGTGGGAGGCGTCGCGCGGGCTGCATGGTGGCCGTGGCACGACCGAAGTTGGCGGTGGTGGCCATGGTCGCGGAGCAGACTCGGCGAAAGGAACCGAGAGGGGGCGCTCGCATCCCTCGGATGATGCCCCCCCTGCCGGCAAGTGTGGTTTTCCTTGGACGAGGCAGCGGCAAGGTCAATGAAGGCGGCCGCGATAGCAGAGACGCTTGAGACGACGCGAGCGGCTGGTGCACCAGCGGAGATCGTGGCGGCAACGCTGGCGGGTGGTCGGCCGGCCATCGGTGGCATGACCGTGCTGATCGTGAATCTGGAACGTGCACTTCATGAAGTAGCTTGTGTCAGAGCGTGAATTACCTACCCCGCTTTCGCTTCCAGGCAAAACCAAGTCATACCACGCGCCTCCTCGTCAAGCGGCCTGACCAGTACAGGCCGTAGTTTGGCATCGCTTGGTATCTCCTGGAAGCGAGGGCGGTCAGAAGCGAGGTAGGTTTGTGTGCCCCCTATTGTCGGAGGACAGATCGTGTTATGCGGGTTCGAGTCGAGGCCTGGGCGGCAGCGCACGGTGAGCGAGGTCGAAGCGCGGCCCCCCTCCTGATGAGATTCTATATGCTTACGTCACATCCGCCGACTCCTATATAAGGTACTGCGCCTCCAGGACTGCATTTCACGAGGCTTGTCCGAATCATGGCACGGCGCTCGACATCGTTCCTGTTGCTTCGTTGCTGTTATCGTACCGCTTGGTGCTCTTTTGTGGCCTCTTGGTGGCATTTTGGCCTGTCTGCAGGCCATATCCGGCCGCCTCGAGGCATCTTGGGCCAAGTTTTGGGGCCTCTTTGGGGCTTCCTGGGGGCTTCTTGGAGGCCTTTGAGGTTCTTTTGGGGGTCCCTCAGGGCCTCTTGGGCTGTTTTTGGGGCAGGCTGGGGGCGTCTTGGGGCCGAAGGCTCGAACAGGTTTCGTCTTGGGGCCGTCTGGGGGCCCTCTTGGGCTGTCTTGTGGGCTTCGGGGGCTGTTGTTGAACCCTCTTCGACCCTTCTTGGGGGGCCCCTTTGGCTGTCTGGGGGCGATATTGAAGGTTCTTTTGCCCGTCTGGGACGTTGTGAAAACCGAATAAGCGAGCATGCGGAAAATGCTTGTTTTCCGAAGGGAATGGGGCGATTTTTGTTTCTTGGGACCCATTCTTTGGGGGCGCATCTTGGGGGCCTTTTGGCGCGTCTTGGCAGCTTCGGAGGCCGCCTGGAGGCCATCGTGGGCGTCCAGGGCCATATTTCGGCGAATCGTGGCCCCCTGGGACCGTCTGGGGAACGTTCTTGTGCCTTCATGGCCAGTTTTGGAACCCTCCGCTCCCCCGTGGCGCGTTCGGTCCGGGGTCGCCCCGGGGCGGGGGGGGGGGGGTCCAACTCTCCGGTTTGGGGTCCTTGGGGGGGGTATGGGGGGGGGGAACCATCGTCGAGCGGCCGAGCCCCTCGCCTCTGCACAAGAGCCGCCCAGAATACTTCAGCTTCGGCCTCCAAGGGTCTTGCGTCCTTGCCACGCGTCCTCACTATGCGTTTTCACTGCAGCTTGTGGGAGGGCGGATGTCGTGTCCTGCGGGCTCGAGCCGAGGCCAGGGGCGGCAGCTCGCGCGGCGGGCGAGGCCGCAGGCGCGCGGCCCCGCGGCGGCCACGGTGGCGCCCCGCGGGGCCCCTCTCCTGATGAGATTTTCGCGGCCGCGTCGAGCAGCCGAGCCCCTCGCCGCTGCACAGGAGCGGGCACTGCTCCTGTGTCGGGCGTGTCCCCCTGCAGGGGGGATTTTCGACGAGAACTAAAAAATAAGCACCCAAATAAACCCTACAGGGGGGATTTTCGACCAGAAATAAAAGATCCCCCAGACATAGTCCAGAAAATGGTCCAAAAGATAGTCCCCGGGCTATTTTTGGATAAGTATGTGCCTTTTGTTGGGTATTAAAAAAAACGTCGACAGTCCCCCTGTAGGGGGACAGGCCCGACTTAACACTACTCGGACGGGTGGCTCGGTAAAACGTTCTGTGGGGGTTGGCGCCCCGTTGTTCTGGTGCGCTCCCTCCGCCTCTCCCTTGAGCATGCATGCGTGTGTCGCTGCGCGCGTCTGGCTCAAGACAACTGTGAGGGTCAGGGTCAGCTGGCGTCTTGCTGGAAAAGGGTGCGCGCGCCTCGTTCTCTAGCGCGTGCGAATCACTATCCGTTCCCCGCTTCACATCTACTCAACTGAACAAATATTGCGGCAATGTCGGGCGCCATCGTTCAGAGCCCACCCATATATCAGATCAATATGAAAAAAAACAGGTCTTTTGGTTTAGGATATCAGAGCAAGGGATATGCTATTCGTCAGGGCATGTCGGTTATCTGGTGGAAGACGCTTTCATTTGAGGGATATGTCCGCTGAGGTACCAAAGGCAGCAAACGAGGATGAGGAGGAGGAAGAGGAGGAGGAGGAGGAGGAGGAGGAGGAGGGGGCGGAGGAGAAGGAGGAGGAGGAGGAGAAGGAGGAGGAGGAGAAGGAGGAGGAGGAGGAGAAGCAGGAGGAGGAGGAGATGAGGAGGAGGAGAAGGAGGAGGAGGAGGAGGTGAGGAGGAGGAGGAGGAGGAGGAGGAGGAGCCTGGGCCGGCCAGTGCGTGATGACGGACCCGGGCGTGGTACCGTCCAATTGGGGCTTCTACATGGGGGACGAGACGAAGCGACGGAGCGGGCGGGGGCCACCTGCAAGTCGGGCCTGCGGGGGGGAGCTCTGACAGGGGGCTCTTCGGCTGACCCAGCTTTGGGAGCCGATGTCCTGTCCCCTGGCAGCTACCGCGCGGGCGAGCGGGGTTTGCCTCACGACCCCTGCTGACCAAGGTTTGCCGCTGACCTTGGTCAGCGCGCCCCGACCTGGAAGTGTGTATAGGACATGACCGATCACCCTCCCGCAACCTGTCTCGCTGACCAGGTAGTTCCCATCGCTGCCATGGTCTGGCATATGAGTTGTTTAATTCGAGCGATCACCGACACTCTTGCTACAGACCGCAAGGTAGGAATGATCATCCTGACCCGTGTATCATTAATATCGGCAGTCCCAGTTGTTCTCTGGTTAAGGCCCAATGATTTCCAACTCAGGTCCACCAATGCTGTTGAACACGATGTAACGAGGTAGATCATGCTGGGAATAACGCCCTCACCTCCAGCCTCAGTGGGGAGCGATGCTCGAAAGAGTTTAGGTTTTCGACGTCGTGTCTTTTCAATCCGTGGCTGGCCCCCAATCACTTTCCCAGGACTGGTTATGCATCGCGGGCAGCTCTTCATTGGCCCTGGGCCCAGGATCCCGAAGACGGCGTCCACGCGCCGAAGTTGTGGATATCGTTGGAGTTGGGGAATTTCGTTTCGGAGGTCTGCTGAGCAGAAGGACGATGAGCAGGAGGAGGAGGGGGAGGAGAAGGAGGAGGAGGGATATGCGTATGGATATATGCCGCCTGCCCCACGCGCTGCCTGCGACACAACATGGTGCGGCCGCGGAGGAGGAGGAGGAGGAGGGGGAGGAGAACCAGGAGGAAGAGGAGGAGGATCAGCAACACTGCGTATGTCGGCTGCCCCATGTGCTTTCCGAGACACAGCCTGGTGCTGCCGCGAAGGAGGAGGAGGACGACGAGGAGGACGACGAGAAGGAGCGGCAACACCAATTGCGGTTCCCCCCCGCGCCTCACGAGGATATCCGCCGCTGGAATGGCTGATCTCAGCGCTTGGGATGACTGCATCACCACCGCGGGGCGCCGCGGAGAGCCCGTTTCCCAGGCTCGCTGCCCAGGACCACCGCACTTCCCGACATTGCGCGGGCCCGCTCCCGAGGGCGAAGCGCGTCATCCTTGAGCAGGCCCCGAGGCCGTGAGCCAAGGGCGCCCTCGAGGGCGCGAAGTTCTTCGCGCTTGGCGCTTCGGCTCCGATTCCTCCTCACCCTCCTCTTCTCCCCTGGGAGGCGGCGCGAGAGTGCGGAGTCATTCGCACACCGCGCTCCGCGCCGCGCGCAGCGCGGAGCTGGGCGCCCCTTGGGAGCGCAGGGCGCCTCGCCGCGAAGAACGTCGCGCCCGGCACCGCGAGGCTCGCGAGGGCCGCTTTCTCGCCCCCGGGGGCCTCCTACAGTAGGCTGGGGGGCGCCGGGCACGGCTATATATATATATATATATATATATATATATATATATATATACATGCATACATATACATATATATATATATATATATATTCTCATACGCACCTCTCCGAGGGAGTAGAGCTCAGAGGCGATTAATGCGCACGCGTCCGCGATTTGTCTGGCCGTTTCGCTCGGGACATCCTCGACATTCTGAAAATCGGTAGCACCCCTCACGCAGATCGTGACGTCAGGGTCCAAAAACACATGGGAATTTCA